CCGGATCTCAGCTCACTGCAAGCTCCGCCTCCCGGGTTCACGCCATTCTCCTGCCTCAGCCTCCCGAGTACCTGGGACTACAGGCGCCTGCCACCTCGCCTGGCTAGTTTTTCGTATTTTTTAGTAGAGACAGGGTTTCACCATGTTAGCTCAGGATGGTCTCGATCTCCTGACCTCGCGATCCGCCCGTCTCGGCCTCCCAAAGTGCTGGGATTACAGGCTTCAGCCACTGCGCCCGGCCGACTGTATCTTTATTAAAAAAATGAAAATAATTGTCCCCATGTGGTGGTGTACCTGTGGTCCTAGCTGCTTGGGTGACTAAGGTGGGAAGACTGCTTGAGCTCGGGATGTCAAAGCTGCAGTGAGCCGTGATCACACCACTGCCCTCCAGCCTGGGCAACAAAGCAAAACTCTATCTAAAAAAAAAAAAAAAAAGAAGAAGAAGAAGAAAAAAAAAGTTGAAAAATAGCTATCTGTTTAGAAATGTATTATTTGTATATAATCATTGGGTACAAGTGCAATGTTGCTGCATTGATATATTCCACTGTGGTGAAGCCTGGAGCAATGCACATTGTTCCTACCAGACAACCTCCCATTATCCACCCTCCCCACCCCTCCAAATCAGACATTTTACAAATTCTTTCTATATGTGGAGATGACTGAGAAAGACTGGCCTGCAGAAATGATCCACTGGACTGTGAGAGAGAAGAACTGGGTTCTCTTTATAAATTTCCTATCGATTAGCTATGGCAATTAAGTCAAGTTGTCTTTTGATGCCAGTTTTAACTATAAAAGGATTCTCAGGGAATAATATAGTAGATAGATTATGCCTATGGTTGATTTCTAGAGAGTACTGTACTGTGTTAATTGGATGGAGTATAAGCACTTGGAGCCTCACTAACCTTTAGGAACTAAATAAACTAAATTTTCCTTATCAGGATTCAGAGAAGATGTGCATTGAAATTGTCTCCCTGGCCTTCTACCCAGAGGCAGAAGTAATGTCTGATGAGAACATAAAACAGGTGTACGTGGAGTACAAATTCTACAACCTACCCTTGTCGGAGACAGAGACTCCAGTATCCCTAAGGAAGCCTAGGGCAGGAGAAGAAATCTACTTTCACTTTAGCAAGGGTGAGACATCCTGTGTGGTTACTGGGGTGAGGAGGTCTGATGAACATTGAGACTGAGGGTCAGAATTACTCTGGATTTTTGTGGGGTGAATCCAACCATTTCATTTTATTATTTTATTTTTTAAAGTACTGTGTGCATATGGTTTAAAAACATCAAATGGGGCTAAACATTTTACATTTAGCAGTCCTTTATTCCACCTCTTCACAAATCACTTCCCCTGTTTCCACCCTTCCTCAATCCACCGCTTTCCATATTTCAGTTATATTTATTTTTACTTTTTGAGATGGAGTCTCTCTCTGTTGCCCAGGCTAGAATACAGTGATGTGATCTTGGCTCACTGCCACCTCTGACTCCCAGGTTCAAGCGATTCACGTGCCTCAGTCTCCCAGGTAGCTGGGATTACAGGTGCACACCACTGTGCCTGGCTAGTTTTTTGTATTTTTAGTAGAGGCAGGGTTTCACCATTTTGACCAGGCTGGTCTCTAAACTCCTGACCTCAAGTGATCTGCCTGCCTTGGACTCCCGAAGTGCTGGGATTATAGGCATGAGCCACCAAGCCCATCCTATCTCAGCCATTTCTTCTGTTATTTACCTCCATCATATTTCTGAGTATTGATTTTTGTTCTCCCTCTTTTCCTTTTTTTTTTTTTTTTTTTTTTTTTTTGAGATAGAGTCTGAACATGTTGCTCCGGCTGGTTTCAAACTCCTGGACTCAAATGATCCTCCTGCCTCAGCCTCCTGAGTAGCTGGAATTACAGGCATGAGCCACCATACTTGGCTTCTGAGTAACATTTCTTTTTTTTTTCTTTTTTTTTTTTTTT